AGAGAGGAAGGGAGAGGGATAGGGGAAGAGAGAGACTGATGAGAGAGAAACATCAATCAGCTCCCTCCTGCACACCTCCCACCGGGGATGGAGCTCAAAACTCAGGCATGTGCCGTGAGAATCGAACCAGTGACGTCTTGGTGCCTGGGTCGACGCTCAACCACCGAGCCACACTGGCCGAGTTGGTTTTTTCACATTTTTAAGTGATTATATTTGAATGGTTTGATAAGTACCTAAATAATAGCTTCCTTTTATTTTGGCCTGCAAATCTGAAATTATTTACTCTGTGTCCTTTAAAAAAATCTTTGCATCCCTGGTCAGTGTGGCTCTTTTGGTTGAGCCAACGAAAGGTTGCCTGTTCGAATCCTGGTCAGGTTGTGGGCTCGATCCCTGATAGGTGGCCATCAATGTTTCACTCTCACAGTGATGTTTCTCTCTCCCCCCTAACCCCCCGCCTCTCTAAACATGATAAAAAAATCTTTAAAAAAAAGAATCTTAAAAAACAACAAAAACTCCTTTTCAGATTCTTGCTCAAAGGTAACCACTTAGAAGGGAGATCACACTAAGTTTTGTGTGATAGGTTTGTAAAGACTCCCACAGTTTAAAATTTACTAAGTGATTAAGTTGCATATATCCGAATAGCGATGAGAACAAGGTCAAACTGAGCATACCCACAAGTAACCCTATGAAGCCTAATTCTCTTTGGTGTGAGGAGGTTTTTAAGTCCAAACTTCACCCTATAATATGGAAAAGTAAATCTGACCTAGATTAGAATGCTATTTCAGGAAGTTAATTAAGTATGGGGGGGGAGACAAATACATGGTCCTATTTTGTGACTTTAGAGTTAGGAAAGTCTAAAGAGATGAAAAAGGCAGCGAGCCTGCTGCCCTTGGAGTTGCTTTGGGCCCCAGCCCTTAGATCACACTAGGAACAGGAAGGCCCCTCTACCTGCACAGCCACTATTTGCTTCCTCGAAGAAAGGGAAAAGTTGGGCAGCGTCTACCACACACTGTGAAATCCTCCCAAGTGCCCAAGGCAGTCAGTCTCAAGATACTGTGAGAACATTAGAACTTTCTGTAGCATCCCAGTGCACTAAGCAATACTATTATGTTATCTTGGAAAGAAAGTTTGGGGAACTCTGTTCCTTCAGGGGGAAAAGCTACAAAAAGTCCTTCCTGGGCAGGAACACGCTCTCCTTGGCCCTTGCAGAAAATGCTTCTCTTCTCTGTTATCTATTAAAGTCGGAAATATATACAGAAAATCTATACAACTTTATTTTTATAACTGGACTCACGTTGTAGTATATTTCGTTGTTCAAGTTCTTCTGGTGTTGGTCTTTGACTCAGTCGTCTAAAAAGAGATAAATAAGAATATTATCTATGTTAAACCTCTCAATCCTGTTTATAAAGACCTGTTTTGGTCTTAGTTTATATTAGTCCCTACACTGGCAAGAAATCAATAAAATCTCAAACTGTTTTGATATTTCATTTGTTTATCTGATTCACTGTTTATGAAACAAGTTTCACATTGAAAGTGTTCATACAGATGTTACAACATAAAAAGGAATTGTATGTATTAACAGGAGGCCAGAACTCTAGTTCTAGCTCTGACATCAACAAGCCCTAACACTACGAAAAAGCTCAGTCAGACTCTGAATGTGCTCATCTGTAAAATGAATGTTTGGACTGGACTGGTGGCTCCCAAAAAGATTTGCTCCTTCAGCAAATCTCCAGGCATATTAAAAATTTTAATTCAGGAAACAAGGATAAGGACTGAGATTTTAAAATAAGGTCCTATCAAATATTTTATGAAGTTTCTCATCACCCACAGTTCTGAGATGTTACCAATGATGTATCATTTTTGGAATCAGAAAATTATTCATTTATTACCATCTATCTATATATAAACCCCAATGTGCAAATAGACCAAATGGCAAATAACCGAACAGCCGGTTGCTATGATATGTGCTGACCACCAGGGGGCGCGTGGAACATGGCGGGCGTTGGCCGCAGTGCAATGGTGGAGCAGGTGAGCAGGGGAGCCAGACCAAGGTGGGGTGCCTGTGGTGGTCACTGAAAATTCTTTGCTCCCACATGCCGTGGTCCTGCCAGGCACTCACACCCGCTGCCAGTGCTTGGCGCCGGTCTCAACTGCTTGGTGCCATCAGCAGGTGCAAGTGGCAGCTGCCAGCCCCGATCGTCCCTGAGGGCTTCTCCACCTCCCCCTGCTCCTGCTGCTGGCGCTGCCCCCAATCTCTCTGCTCTGTCAGTGCATGGGAGTGGCAAAGGCAGCAGGAGCGGGGCTGCCAGCAGACAGGAGACCAGGGGCCACAGTGGGAGGGGTCGGGTGGGGGTGCGGATGGGCCAAGACCCACCCCTGTGCCCACCACAGCTTCTTGGCCCACAGTTCCTTTCAAGGTGCACAAATTCATGCACTGGGCCCCTAGTTAATTTATAATTCTCAGACAGTCTTTGAACTACATGCTAATAACTATTCTTTTTAAAGTATTTTTATTGATTTCAGAGAGGAAGGGAGAGGAAGAGAGAGATAGAAACATCAATGATGAGAGAGAATCATTGATCGGCTGCCTTCTGCACATTGGGGATCAAGCCTGCAACCAGGCATATACCCTGACTAGGAACTGAACCATGACCTCCTGGTTCCTAGGTCAACACTCAACCACTGAGCCACGAAGTTGGGCAAAGATCCCCATTTTAAACTAATTCCTAATTTTGATGGTCTCTTGGTGACAATCAGAGGGCCACAGTTTTGCATTAAGAGTGCCATCCTGGCCAACAGCACAACAGGTGTGTAAGATAGGAGAGGAGAATATATTTTAGTTAATGAACATCCTTAATTACTTTGTAAGTAATGTGTCACCAGTTCCATCTCCTTTTCCTCATTCTATCAAGAGATACATGTGAGTTGGGAAAATACCTGTCTATATACCTGGACTCTAATGTGTATTATATGTGCAGGTAATTGGCCTGCATTCAGTTTCTCTAAGCTTTGGGATCCAGCTGACTTGAAAAATGTAGTAACATAATGAAAAAATGTATACTAACACTTCGAAAGGAGGCAGTTACATGGAACATGTGTAACAGATATAATAAAAAATGTGGGTGTGCTCTTTAATTGGGCTGGCATCTCATGCTTGAGCAACTGAATAAATGACAGAGGACTCTCGCTATTCTGGGAACCACCTGAATTCTCTAAAACTTAAAACAACAACAAAACGTATCTATGGTTTAATTGCCAAGTTCTTAGAGAATACTCAACTGGGCACAACAGGGTTTTTTTGTTTGTTTTTAGAATATATTTTTATTGATTTCAGAGAGAGGAAAGGAGGAGAGAGATAAAAACATCAATGATGAGAGAGAATCATCGATCAGCTGCCTCCCGCACACCCCACACTGGGGACTGAGCCCGAATCCAGGCATGTGCTCTGACCAGGAATCTAACCGTGACCTCCTGGTTCATAGGTCGAAGCTCAACCACTGAGCCATGCCAGCCAGGCCACAATAGGTATTTTAAAAATATTATACTATTTCTAAAATTTTTTAAAAAAACAGTAACAAAAAGATAAATGAAGCTTCACCACAAAATAAGTCTCCAACATACATACTGTCCTAATCAAATCAAATCAAATCAAATCAAATCAAATCAAAGTATTCTAACCAGTGGGCCTACCGGATCAGCGTGTTCCCAATCTGGTGCCGTATTTCATTCCACTCCTCTTTGCTTTTGCGAGGCCAAGAATTCAAGTTCAACTCTGGTTCACTGGGTCTGTGATTCAACTTCATTGCCAGTGTGTCTTTCCTCTTCACTTTGTTGGCCAGAGCACCTTTGCACAAGAAAAGAAAATGTTGAAGCTTAAGGCTCAACCTCACCTGCTTGAGCTTCAGGCAAGAGTCTGAACAAATAATATCCTATCTCCCAGCTTCCTACGTGGCCTCCAATCGTCCAGCCAACAAAGAGGTGGGGGTGAAGCTAAGAAGACATCTAAAAATCTCAGCCAGATGGCCTCAGATGGGCTAAAGATATCTTCTCCCTTCTACCAGTCCTCTATACTTTCATCCCTAATAAGAACTGCTGTAGGAGACAATCTAAGCATGGGACAGCCCTCTGAATTATAACAAAAAGTATTCACACTAACACACCTCATAAAATTCCTATCTTAAGGCTGTTCTCTCACTTTCAGGATTCCACTATTAAAAACAGATGAAAAACTGAAGGATGCAATCTACTTGGCCCCCGCTCACGGCTTGTTATAACAATGGCAATATCAGAGACAAGAGTTCTTCATAAGCCAACATCAGGTAGTCAGATGACTCATGGGAGAAGGTGCCTGTTTCCATTAATTTTTCACTTGCTAAGACCAGCCAGTAGCTTTAACTATAAAAAATTTTCTCTTTTGCTTTCCCTCCTTTTCTTACTGTTCTGGCTTTCATCTTCATCCTCGTCGTCTCGGTACTGAATGGGACCTTCTGAGTCTGAGTCGCTCTCCTTCTCTTCCTCTTCCTCCTGCAGACACTGTGGGAGTTTAGGAGTGACTGAGGTAGGAGGCATATCTTCACTGAATGCAGATGGGTGGGTTTGCTCCTCTTCTTCATCATCTGGACTAAAAAATTAACATAATTAAATAACCTTTCAGAAAGGTTAAGGAACATACAATACAAGCTAGTAAGTAAGAGAGAGCTGGGATTTGAACCCAGAGCTAGCTTACGCCAAAATCCATGCTCTTATCAAAAAATACAGGGGTTTCAATTTTCAAGAATAACAGTTTATAGTTTTTATATCATCATGAAATTGTCTGCTATGGAAACCATGTTATAGAAATCAGCAGGGTAAACAAAGTTCAAATTCTAGAACATGTCTTATTTGTTGAGTATTCTTTTTACTTTAAATTTATTCACATTTTCTTTTTATAAGTAATTTTTTTCCAAGACGGGCTAACTAAAAAAGGAAAGTAAAGGAGAGGAAACAAGAGGCAAGCTTTTAAGGCACTCACACTTTCAGCATTTCAATAGTGATGGGAAGTGACCTGGTACGACCCAGAGTATTGCTGTCCTCGGAAAAGTTGTCACTGTTCTCGAAGAGCAACGAATGAGCTCTGTGAGAGCCCTCCAAGGAGGAGGAGATGGGAAGTGGGCTGGTCAGGGCCTGTTGGATTCGGATATGCAGTGGGAGTGGGGGCAGCCTAGAGGGGACATGGGGCTCCCCAAAGCTGTGGTCCAACATCCTCTTGGGTGCTTCCTTCTTCTGGTCTTCCTGCGGGGAAACCTCCTGGGGTAGATCTGAAGAAGGTGCAAACTCAGTTTCTGGCACAACTTGAAAAGTCTTGGCAGGGAGTGGAGGGGACCGGGGCGGCTCTGGCGGTATATGAGTGGGCAGTGGGGGGGAAGGAGAGGGAGGGGGGATGAGCAGCAGCTGTTCGGAGCCCACAGAGCACGTGCTCTTCTCTCTTTGATCACTTGGTGCTTTTGTGGTGGCGGCGGCAGACTCCGAGGTGGGTACCAAGGTTGATGGAATGCCTCTCTTCGGTGGTAAGGGTGGGGATGGTTTAGATAACAATGTTCCACTGTTTACTGCCGGAAAAAGAGAGAGCAACATCTCACTATAAGATGGCTTTACAATGCTTTGAAGGGCCAGCCCAGGGCATAGAATTAGAGCTGAGCTGTCTTAACCTTTCAGGCAAAAAATTACATGTCATGCCTTTGCCATTCCCTAGATACCTCATTCTAAAAATTACCCTTCAATATCTATGAGACCTTATACATATATAGAGGTATAGGAAGACCACTATCCTAATACTCTGATAAGAAAGTTTTACCAAAAAGAAATAAAAACAAAGAAATGTTTTAGTTTTTTAAAAAGAACTTTATGAGAGAGAGAGAGAGAGAGAGAGAGAGAGAGAGAGAGAGAGAGAGAAAGAAAGAGAGAAAGGGAGGTATCAACTTATGATCAAACTCACAACCTGGGTATGTGCCCTAACTGGAAATTGAACCTACCACTTGGTGTATGAAATGATGCTCCAACCAAATGAGCCACACGGGCCAGGGTGGTAATCTGATGTTTTAATGTAATTTATTGTAAGTGTGTGTGTGTGTGTGTATATACATACACACACACACACATACACATATATATATATGTATTTTTATTGATTTCAGAAAAAAAAGCGAGAGGGAAAGATAGAAACATCAACGATGAGAGAGAATCACTGATCGGCTGCCTCCCACACAGCCCCTACCAGGGATCAAGCCTAGAACCTGGGCACGTGCCAGATCAGGAATCAAACCATGATTGAATCAATACTCAACCACTGAGGTACCTCGGCTGGGCTCATTGTAAGTATATTTTCAAAAGGACTTTCAGAAAAATAGCGCATACACATTAAAAAAAGGATTCAGCCCTAGCCAGTTTGGCGCAGTGGTCAGAGTCAGCCCTCAGACTGAAGGGTCATGGGTTTGATTCTAGTCAAGGGGACGTACCTTGGTTGTAGGCTCCATTCTGGGCCCCAGTTAAGGTGCGTGCGAGAGGCAACCAATTGATGTGTCTCTCTCACATTGATGTTTTTCTCTCTCTCCCACTCCCTTCCATTCCCTCTAAAAAAAAAAAAAAATCAATGGGAAAAGTATCCTCGGCCCTGGCTGGTTTGGCTCAGTGGACAGAGCATCGGCCTGCGGACTGAAGGGTCCTGGGCTTGATTCCAGTCCAGGGCACGTGCCTGGGTTGCGGGCTCGATCCCCAGTGTGGGGTGTGCGGGGGGCAGCCGATCAATAATTCTCTCTCATCATTGATGCTCCTACTGGTATCTCTCTCTCCCTTTCCCTTCCTCTCTGAAATCAATAAAAAAATAAATTCCCCCAAAAAAGTATTCTCAGGTGAGGATTAACCACAACAACAAAAAGGATTAAGCCCTGGCCGGTTTGGCTCAGTGGATAGAGCATCAGCCTGTGGACTGAAGGGTCCCGGGTTTGATACCAGTCAAGGGCACATGCCTGGGTTGTGGGCTCCTTCCCCGGTAGGTGGCATGCAGGAGGCAGTCTGTCAATGATTCTCTCTCATCTTTAATGTTTCTATCTCTCCCTCTCCCTTCCTTTCTGAAATCAATAAAAATGATTTTTTTTTAAAAAAAGGATTAAAAAAAATGTAAATCTTAGGATCAATGAAAGAGATACTTTTGGGTAGACTGGGCTACTGCTGCCTCTAAAAACAGCAACTGCTTGCCCTGAAGAGAGTATACTACGGGCTTAGAGCAGTGGTTCTGATCCCTGTATATGCAGCATCAGCACCACCTGGGAACTTCACAGAAATGCAAATTCTCAGGCCCAATCCAGACTTACTGAACCAGATACTTTAAGTGCAGGGCCCAGCAATCTGTATTTTAACAACCCCTCCAGGCGACTGTGATGAGAACACCTGTCTTGACAACCATTTGCGAACACAGGTGTATAGAACAGGTCTGTACCCAAGAGTTGAAAAACCTACGTTTGATTTCTATCTTTCACTAACTGCAACCTTGAATGAGTCACAATTTCTTCTTGTTCTGCTTGCCCTAATTATATAATAGATAAAATCAATTTCCTACTTCACAAGGAGATTTTGAAAATAAGTATATGAAAGCTTCTCAAATTCCTCAGAGATAAGTCAATCTAAGGTGGTGATAACATGATAATAATAATAACCTTCATCCTGTTTTTATCAAGCTACTCCAGCTTGTCATACAATAAATTCTAAGCCTGTTTTTCAAGGTTCTAGTCACCCCACACAACTTGATGGTTATTAGCCATTTAACAAGCATATATATTTTTTAAATCCTCACCTGAGGACATGATTGGAGAGAGAAAGGGAGGGAAGGAGGGAGGAAGGGAGGGAAGGAGGGAGAAAAGGAGGGAGGAAGGGAGAGGGAGAAACACTGACTGGCTACCTTCTGCATGTGCCCCAACCAGGGATGGAACCTACATCCCAGGTACGTGCCCTGACCGGAATCGAACCTGCAATCTTTCTGTGCACAGGACGACGAGACACTCCAGCGGGCATACTTTTTATTTTTATTTTTTAAACATATTTTATTGATTTTCTACAGAGAGGAAGGGAGAGAGATAGAGAGTTAGAAACATCGATCAGCTGCCTCCTGCACATCTCCCACTGGGGCTATGCCCGCAACCCAGGTACATGCCCTTGACCGGAATCGAACCTGGGACCCTTCAGTCCGCAGGCCGACGCTCTATCCGCTCTATCCACTGAGCCAAACCGGTTTCGGCAGGGCATACTTTTTAATCCTCCAATCATTAACAAAAACTTTAAGCAGTACTAAGCCTAGTATCATTTTTCCTGAAAAACTATCTTCCTTTCTCTCCTCCCTTTCTTGAAAATTCCTCTAAGAAGGTATGCATTTATATAAAGAAAATAGACCGCCAAAACCGGTTTGGCTCAGTGGATAGAGCGTCGGCTTGCGGACTGAGGGGTCCTGGGTTCGATTCTGGTCAAGGGCATGTGCCTGGGTTGCGGGCACATCCCCAGTGGGAGATGTGCAGGAGGCGGCTGATCGATGTTTCTCTCTCATCGATGTTTCTGGCTCTCTATCTCTCTCCCTTCCTCTCTGTAGAAAATCAATAAGATATATTAAAAAAAGAAAAAAAAAACAGAAAATAGACCTAAAAAGGATTTCAGGTAAATATAAAAAATTTACTAAAACCAATTATCCTCCTTTCTCTCTTCCACCACTGATTTTACTCAGAGTAGCATTTTTAATTCTCAAGATAAAACATGATTTTATCAGAACAATTTAAATAATATCTTTTGCAGTTCCCCTTGAAGACATTATGCCAGATTCTGAACCACAAGTTACACTGGCATCTATACAATCATCTTCTCATCTACTGGGCTTATGCTGGAGGAATGCCCTGGCAGTTTAAAGTAGGTTAAAATAAATCTTTTCTTCGTGCTGGTCAAACCTGTTGTGATCTTCATATGCCCAGTCCCCCAACTATAGATAGTATTCCAGAAACAGTTTTAGGAAAATAGATATGAATCCCCCACACCTGAACCTCATTTTAGTGGTTTCTGACTTCAGAAGCCTGTTGCCACTCATAGTCGCCTGCCTCAATTTCAAGACTTTTCTATAGAGTGCATTCAAAGGGACAAGATATGGAAACTCCCTCACAGACCAAATCAATATTGGATCAGCTATCCTATAAAATAACCATCTAAAACCCAACCCAAGTGCATTCTCAGGAACGAACTCTGCTTCAGAATTAGGCCGGCTTCCAGTTGAGCCTGTGTAATAACAGATATGATTTAAAAGGAGAGAGTAACAAGACAGACTCAAAAAGCTAACAATTTATAATCAACTTCACCCATTATTTAATTTATAGATCAACTGACAGGCAAGTTTCCCAACCTCAAAATACTTAAGGTAGATGACACTTCTTAAATCAGGAAGTGAGACTTATTATCGTAGTGATTTGTCATACAAGAGCCAGGAGGAGGCACATTCGATAGAATACCTAAGGTGGAGGAAGAAAAATGTGTATCTTAAAAATGTGCCTACAGTTATCTGATATTTAACAACCTCCACCCTTGAGAATCACAAATATAGATACTTTGTGAATAAGAGAATGAGAAGGGGGAAATTCTACTTAAAGTTACAACTAGTTGGAGAATTGCTAGAGAGAATTCCCTCTGGGTTTTATTTCTCCCCTTGCTCTTGCAAACCCTTGAGGTAAATGAGAATGACCATGGCTCTTTTTTAAAAATTTTAAAATTGATTTTTACAGAGAGAGGAAGGGAGAAGGAGAGATAAAGAGAAACATTTAGCTGGGCATGTGCCCTGACCAGGAATTGAACCAGTGAGTGACCTTTTGGTTCATGGGTCGACACTCAACCACTGACATACTGGCCAGTCTCTCTCCTCCCTCTCTCTTTTTTAAAATCCATGGCTCTTAAACTAAAAAATCCAGTTTCTTACCTAGTTGCTTCTTTGGGTCCTCTTCTGGAACAGGTTTTCCAAGACTTGCTATTCTTTCTGGCTCTTCCTCTACTGGGACTGGATTAGAAGATCTGGCATCCCCAATGGGGGTGGTGTGGCCATTCTTTAACATGGCATGGTTCAACTTCCCTGGCTCCTCACCATCTGCAAGGTCCAAACGGAAAGGGCAAACTGATGAAACTGGCATGGTCATCTTATCCCATTTCCTCCTCTTCCTTTTAGTTTATCATTTAGATCTAGGTTGTTATTATTATTACTAAAGGCCCGGTGCATGAAATTCGTGCATGGGGGCGGGTGTCCGTCAGCCTGACCTGCACCATCTCCAATCCGGGACCCTCTGCCTGCCTGCCTGATAGCCCCTAACTGCTCCCCTGATGGCCTGATCGCCCCTAACTGCTCTCCCCTGCAGGCCTGATAGCCCCTAACTGCCTCTGCCTCGGCCCCCGCCACCATGGCTTTGTTCAGAAGGACATCCGGAAGATGTCCGGTCTATCTGGTCTAATTAGCATATTACCCTTTTATTAGTATAAATTTTTATTATTATTTGGATCCTTATAGTAGTGGAAATTAAGTAATTCCTTTTTAAAATAGACATTTGATTGCCTATTATGTGCCAGCTGCATTGCTATATGAATAAGACAGACTTATTCATATAAGAATAAAGAAGAAATAATGATCCTGTGGTGGGAGTGGGGTTAGGAAAGCTTCACAGAAAGTGATAGCTAAACTTGGTCTTAAAGGAAGGATAGGAACCTACTAGACTGATAATGAGATAGATTCTTTAATGTATCTAGGAAGAAGGAACAGCATGTAGAAAGATGTGAAATTATTTGACATTTTTGGGAACTGGCAACTAGTTAAGTCTGGCAGTAGAATAGATGCATATAAGGAAAAGTTGTGTATAGGACTGGAGAGGCAAGCAAGAGCCAGGCTATGAAAGATACCAAACATCATGTAAAAGAGCCCGGACTGAATCCTGTAGGTAACAGGAAGCTAATGAATTAAAGTAGGAGAGAGATCTGATCTGACCTACCTTTTAGAAGGTTAGCTCAGAGCTGTGAGGAGGATGGATTGCACAGTGATTGAAGAGGAAAACAATTAATGAGCTACTGTTAGAATATATAGGTGAGAAGTAGCAGAGGGTGCCTGTGCGTATTGTGGGTCGAAAGCAAGGGGTAGAACTGACAGATGCATCAAAGGTAAATATGAAATACAAACTAAACTGCAGGAATCATCACTAGGCTGAAGGCTTTGGGATGACCACTCATCACTATGAAAATTGTAGGTAAGATTCCTTCATGGAGCAATTAGACAAACATTCTCAGCTACTGCTAAGGTTTTTCTATACTCCTTTGGAGGAGAAAACTAAAAAAAAAAACACCACCACACCTAAGGTTGGAGACTAAAAACTCTGTCCCAGCTGCTAGTGTGCTGACTGGAACTAGATGCTTTCTAAATGGTGCCCTTTATTAGACAGTGTTATTCTTCATGCAGGCTAAATAGGAGGTGGAGTTTGGGCTAAAAGTAGTGAAGAGACTAAGGCAAATGAGCACCAAATAAAAATGTACTTCTAGCCAGCACCGGTTTGGCTCAGTGGATAAAGCGCTGGCTTGCGGACTCAAGGGTCCCGGGTTCGATTCCGGTCAAGGGCATGTACCTTGGTTACGGGCACATCCCCGGTGGGGGGTGTGCAGGAGGCAGCTGATCGATGTTTCTCTCTCATCGATGTTTCTAACCGTCTATTCCTCTCCCTTCCTCTCTGTAAAAAATCAATAAAATATATTTTAAAAAAATGTACTTCTAAAGCTGAGATTCTGATAACTACTTTATTTTTTTAAAAATGGGGAGGGGCAAGAGCACAACAATTATGCAAATGTAGTAAGTTATTACTTATGTTAATTCAGACCATCGTTAACAAAAACAGGTCTTTCTGGAATATAAAGCAATGAATCATTTCAGTGCCAACATAGACTGCTACTTTTGAAAGCAATATAGTGAAAGGTTAAGACACATTATTAATTGGTTTCTACTCAGCACATATTAGTAAAATATATGTAAAAGCAATCAGTTCTTTCCCAAGTTACTTAATCAGGATTGCCTATTTTTAAGTAAAATTTCTTATATTTAGGGTTTCTGCAATGCTAGCAGAATGAAGTAGAAGTAGTATTTGGCTTTAATGCCTCTGAATAGCCTCCCTCTCAGAAAATCTATTAAGTATTTTATTTATTTATTTATTTTTAAATATATTTATTGATTTTTTACAGAGAGGAAGGGAGAAGAATAGAAAGTTAGAAACATCAATGAAAGAGAGAAACATTGATCAGCTGCCTCCTGCACACTCCCTGCTGGGGATGTGCCCACAGCCAAGGTACATGCCCTATTAAGTATTTTAAAATATAGTCAAGTCAAAACCAAAATCAAGCCAAATGCCATATTCAAGTATGAAAAGAGCGTTAAGGTTCAAACACTGCTTTGGGGCTAAGCTGGCTATATGTCAGGCCCTGAGGTCCATCTCTGAGTTTCTTCTTACAGAATAAAGCTTAGGTCAGTTTTGTGATTGGCATAATGGCATCTTGTCCAATGGCTGCAATTCATTCATCAATTGGGCCTTTGAGCTCCTAGGCAAAAACAACTTTGAACCAGAGCCAATAGGAAGCAGAGGGAAAAAGAGACTGAATGAAGGTGAAAACCTGGCTGGTGTAGATCAGTGGTTAGAGTGTCGCCCCCGACACACTGAAGGGTCTTGGGTTTGATTCCCAGTTCCAAGGGAGGCAACCAATCAATGTGTCTTTCTTATATCAATGTTTCAATTTCTATCTCTCTCTTTTTCCCCTCCCTCTCCTTTTCCCTTTCCCCCTTCCACTCTCTAAAACTCAATGGGGCCCTAGCTGGTTTGACTCAGTGGATAGGGCGTCGGCCTGAGGACTGAGGGTTCTTGGGTTCTGTTCCGGTCAAGGGCACATGCCTGGGTTGCAGGCTCCTCCCCGGCCCGGGCCCTGGTTGGGGCACATGCAGGAGGCAACCAATTGATGTGTT